ATAAATGCAAAGTGGTTTTATAATTGAGAATCCATGTATATTCATCACCAGATCTTGACATCACAGAGATGACTTTTGAGAACTGCCCCCAGATCAAGCAGCTAATAGACCCTGGAGAGTTGATCTGTTTCTGTCAGCTCCTCTTCCTGACCAGAAGGCCAGGGTCAAATGTGAGCAGGGCCAAACCCCACAAAAGCCTGGCAGCGGTCCCATGCACGCAGGCTGGAAGCATTTGCATTCAGGGTGTAAAAAAATGAACAAACAAGAGACCATGGGACATTGGCATTGCAGTGTCTTCACAACTGCAGGGAATTGTGTGGGCCCCTATGAAGCTATGGTGATAACAGTCCAGAGACAAAAATGATCACAGTTCATGAGCTAGATTTGCCTCTTAATTAACTATAGCAGTCCCCTGATAAACATATTCTTCCCAACGTGAGCAGCCTCTTGAAATGAAGTCCTTTGTGTTTTTAATGTGAACAATATATAAAATGAATCGGATGCTCCTGACTAATTCTAAATGGCCTTGCCACAGTTATATTTCATTTTATCTAAAATAAAATACAGATTTTCTAAGGAGCCTTGATAATCACATGTCAGTAACTGATCTTTGTTATAAACGATCTGTGACTGTCATTACAAGAGCAGTGCGCTACAGCACAAGGCTGCACTGAAAGCTCCGAGAAGTAGCCCATCCTGCAGGATGGGGCACATGTCTTATTGTCCTGCATTTCCCATACTACCATCTTCAGGTTTTTGGTTTTTTTTTCTCATCTTTTGGCACTTTTTAAACATAACATAATTATCCTGAAATTTTCCCTTCTAGTGGAAAAAATAGCAGAAATAGAAAAAAAAAAATCCTTTTACAATAATGGACCTTCATTGAAAACCTACTACTGTGCTGTCAGTCATGGGGAGAGGGCACAGTGGTGTGTCCTTCATTTTATTGCAACTTTGAGGCCTTATAAAATACATGTCATGGGGACGTAACGTACAGCATGGTGACCACAGTTACCAATACTGTATTGCATATTTGAAAGTTGTTAAGAGAGTAGATCTTAAAAGTTCTCATCACAAGAAAAAAAAAAATTGAAATTATATGTGGTGATGGATGTTAACCAGACATAGTGTGGTGATCATTTCACAGTGTATACAAATATGGAATCCTTATGTTGTTAACATAATGTTATATGTGAACTATACCTCAATGAAAAGATTTTGAGGCCTTATTAACTTTTATTAAAAATTTAAAAAGTAATAATTTTATTGTGTATGTTATACATATTTTATGAAATGAATACATAATGCTTTCTGCTTCTAGATATTTTAGATGGAAACTGACTCTGACTTTATCTAAAAGAAGAAGTTGTCCCAAAGGGAGTGGTTTGTGTAGTGTAGGAAAATTGCCTCATTGTTATATTTCTGGAGGTGGGGAGTGGTTAACTAGCCATTCACTTTATAATAGTTTATTAAACTGTTCATATATGTGTGATACATTCTTTTCAGTGGTCAGTTATAATTTACAATGAAAAAGGAATGGGGGAAAAAGATTTCACCAACCTCAAAATATCTCCTGGAACAGCTAAATTACATTGTTATCAGTTATTTTAGTTAATACATGGCTTCTCCTTTTCCTCTTTGAAATGGAACTAGTCTGTGGCCAATAATGCATGAAGACATGAGCCCTTTAGTGTTTAGGGCTTATCAGATCCCGTCTTCTCTGTAGCCCAAGAATCTGAGCTAATGTGGAAGGGATGGTTCTGGAGGAGGTATGATGACGGGAGAAAAAGTTGGCAATGGATGTCAGCAAAATGGAAAGTCAGTGAACTTAAATAATGCATAACTTATATTTCCCACCCTTTCATATTTCCGTAACCAACACATAACCTAGCCTTACTGAATTGCTTAGCTCTCTTTTTAAATGGTAGTATGGGGAAAATCATACTAATTTAACTTAATTAGGAAGATGATTAAAAAAAATACAGTGTTAAGAGTATAGTTATTACTTTTTTTTTAGTTATTACTTTTAAATGCACATTTAGTAATGTAAGTATTACCTAATTAAGGCTTTTTAAGAACCCTATACCATGAATAGAAAAGAATAAATTTTAGTTTGCATCTGACTATTATATGAATGGATACTTCATAAGTGCTCCCAGTAAGTTATTGCTTGGAAGTAGTTTTCCCTCTGTAAGTCTGTTTTCCTCATAAGGTTTTTAAAACCCAGGGTTGTCCATTTGATAGCGTTGTAGAGTAGGGAAATACGAATGAACAAATTTGTTATTAGTAGTCCACTGTTTTCAATATAAATGAGCCATAAATTAGATTGTGTTACTGACAATAGCTTAACTCATTTATGCTGTGCATGTGAGAATTATGACTCCTGTGTTAATAAAATAGTCCTGACAGTCGAATAGTTTATTTTGAAGAAGCCTACTGCTTGTGAGTGTCTGAGAGAGCCTGTGTGTGTGTCACACACTCCCTCCAGAAATTATTTTGGAAAACCATCCATCTAGTGTTTCATCTTAAAAATTATGATTTGGATGTTGTGAATAACCAAGTATTGGTTTCTTTAAGAAAAATATATGCACACGTTTAGTTTGAATTTTTTTCTATTTAAAAATATCCCTCAGTTGTTTGTCTACCTGCTTATTAGTTTTTTGGAAGATTTGGATGGGAGAGGTGAAAGTGATTAAGTACCTTACTTTCCCCAAGGTGATTAGTTGTTAGACTAAGAAAAGACTAATCAGTCTGAGGAGATGGGGATTGGAGCAAACCTAGGCTTATTCTGAAGTGGGTGACACCGTGCTTCGTTACCATGATGTTCACCTTGACTTGGTGCTTCCTTGGTTGGAGTTACTGGCACTGGTATTGGTCTCTCTGCTGCACTTCCTCCTCCCCCCAGTCTGGGAAAACAGTCCGAGGTACATGAAGGTCCCTTTCATTTATATGAATTCATACTATCTGCTGAGAACAATACCAAATTAAAAAAACATTTATTTGGAACAATGTCTGGGCCCCAAGTGAGTTAATCCCTCCTGCAACTGCCCCAGGGCCATCCCACATAGACTTCCAACTTCCAGAAGCAGCTCCAGCTCAGATTTGTGCCTGTAGTTTTGGGAATCTGCCCCTATGACTTTATTAATGGCCATGGCCAAATAGACAGTGACTGGCCATTGCCGTACCTGATAGCACTTAGGGTAGTTCAAGGGAATTGCTTGTGTCCCACTTATCATGAACTTTCCTGTGAAATTTCCCATCGGCTCCAGTGTTGTTCTTTCCTCGTGCCTGGGTTCTGAAGGTCGCTTTAGAACGAGTGGCCTTTAATGCCACGTGCATTTTCAGGCTCACCTTTCCGTTTCAGGGCTACAAAATAGGAGCCAACATCAGGTATTGAATTCATGTCAAGTTCCTTAGAATAGTAGTTTTTGGACCTCTTATTTGAAACCACTGTTTGTTTCCTCTGTCCGGGGTTATTCATTAATGTTTGCCTTTCCTGATGGGTAGCCAACCAATGTGCCTACAAACTGCTCTGTAAAGAATTGCCACCTGGGGTGGGGGTGCTCAGTGTGGTCTTCTGGTCTCAGTTGCCCTGGAGAGAAAAAACTCTCCTCTTAGTTGGCGATAGGATGTTCTCTTCACTGGACATTCTTTCCACTTATTTTCTAGAGAGTCTGTCTCCTAGTGGACCCTTTATTTAGACAGACTTTTTAACAACCTGAGGGTGGGGCACAGAGCACACATGGAACGCCATGTGGTGGAGCAGCTGTCTCTGGGGCCACACTGCTAGGTTTCAAAGCCCCTCCCCGCCCCACCACACACACACACACACACACACACACACACACACACACACACTCATAAGCTGTGGGACCTTGGGAAAGACATTTTTAAAGTCTTTAAAAATGGGCTAGTATTAGTATTTACTTACATGATTATTTTGAGGATTACATGAATAAAGAGATGTGAAGTGCTTGGAATAGCACATAGTACGTGCTCAATAAATATCAGCCCTTATTAGCATCACAAATTCATCTCATGACTCGAAAACCACTTGTGGTTAGTGGTGATGACACTTATTATCAAACTGTGGTTGTCCCCCTACAAGATGCCTTTCTGAGGTAGACACGCCTGTATGACACAGAGTTTACTGAACAAGGACTCTGGCCTCCCTTCACTGGTTTCCCCTGCACCAACCCAGTGAGGTACATGTCAACCTGCAGGCTTATCAGCCTCTGTTCCGAGAATGGGGTCCAGACTTCCTAGTGGGCTTAGCCCTTTCACTTAGCTCCCTTTGAATCCTGATTTCCATCGCATCTGCTGGGGCTCCCTCTGCTGGTCCACCTAGCATATATGCAAATTCTTGGAGTAGCAGCTTTTACAAAGTTAGTTTTAGGCTTTTAAGGAACATTTGCACAAACAAATTTGAAAACATTTGTGTGTGTGTGTGTGTGAGCGAGTGATACAGATTGCATCAATATTACTCTTTTTTGCCATTTGTATAATGAGTTGGGATATTTTCCTATTTTCAGTTTGAAAATGTGTTGTTGTTTGCTTTGTTTGATAGAATGGGAGCTATCATGGCATGCCAACAAATGTAACTTCTTTACAACGTAGTCATCAATTTTTACCTTATATATTTCAAGGTATAGCACTAAGGATTTTAGAATCTTATTTTTAACAGTCGAAAGCAAAGACTTTCTCATGATGTAGGGAGTTAATTCTTTAAGTGGCAAAAGGTCCCATTTTAAGAGAGGTGCCAGAACCTAGACCCCATAGGATGTGGTTATGTTGAGGATTGAGGGTTGGGTTTTTTTGCATCCAGAAAACAGCACCTCAGATTTATTGTTCGACTCATTATTATTTGGAATTGTAATTTATCAGTACAATGTGCCATGACAGCCCGAAAATTGCATTTTAAAGTAACTCTTTTGCTTCTTTGTGTTTTCCTGATCACTTTATTCTCCTCCCTTCCGTGTTTTCCTCTTCTTTGCTCCTAGGATCAAACAGCATAAACCGGGTAACTGCAAACATGGAAAATGGAGAAAATGAAGGAACAACTAAAATTATTGCACCTTCACCAATAAAAAGGTCAGTCAATTAACCGGAGGAACATAACACTGTATATTTTCACGAAGATGAATTTTCCTGAGAGCAAGGTGACGAATCTCTTCACTTTGGTAATTCAGTAGTACTTTCGATCAAAATAGTCTGGGGCCAAAGGATATTTTAAAATGCCAGCGAATTATGCCACATCAGGACCTGCCTGCCTCGTTTGAAGGAGACACCCTGCTGTCACAGCGTGCCGCTCTCAGAGGGAATCGGAGGTTGGCGTTCTCGGCAGCAGAGTGAAAAGTCCATGTGATTTTTTAAATGGTGAGATGTGATGGACTAACTCAGACCTGTGAAATAAAGTGGATGATATTCATGTTTAATGTACTGTGTTCATTACGGCGGTGCACTAAGCTGTGGCCCCGGGAAGCGGGCTTATAGCATTTAGAGGCGCGGGGCTTCAGAAGGCAGTGATTGCATATGTATGAAGAGTGGTCATGGTCCTCGCGTCCATTTTCCCAGCAGCATTCCCCAGAGGAAAAACCTTCCTTGCTATGTTACATGGACTGTTTCCCTGGAAGATCAGCCTTGTTCTCTAACACACAATTTCAGTGTCCTTTTTTCCTGTCCCCAGTGATGTTCAGGGGACAGCGTTTTAGACGTACACTGAGCAGCGTTCAGCCCCGTGCTTTCTCTCTGGAGACGGCTGCCCACCCATCTTGGAGAGGTCCAAGCTGTCAGAAACGCGTGACCTGGAAAGACTTCTGAGGTCACCTGCTCCATCTTTGTTAGTAAATAAGGGGGTCTTCATTCAGCTGGATTGTGACTGCTTGGAGAAATACTGTTCATAATTTCTCAGCAAAATAATTTCAAGATAAGAGGGTTCTTATATCAAGTTGCAATGTTTTTCCCAGGGTTTTGATTTCATTTCCGTTTGTTTAGTTTTAGAGCACTCCCTACAGATTCTCTCTTTGGAATGATAAGTTCTTTGCCTTTGCAGACACTTTAGTTTACTGTGCTTCCCTTAATCAGCCTCACAGCTGTGGACAGAGTCAGCTTAATCTGTATGTACAGAGTGTGTGGTGGGAAGTCTAACAGAAGATCAGTAATCTTCCATGAAATTCAGATCCCAAGCTTTTTAGAATGTATAGAAGCAGTTCAATCTCTTTTGTAATTGCATTCTTGCCAAGGACTGATACCTAAAGGGCTGCCAGAATTTTCCCACTCAAGCTTTAGATGAGAAATAGCTTAGGGGGCAGTTAACTCGCCACCCAGGGTGTCATTGTTCTTTAACTTCTGCCTACTCTCCCAATTCCCCTTTCATCTTGCTACTCCCTTTCTCAATCTCCCTTGTCTCGCCTCGCCTTTTCTCCTGACTTATTAAACACACGCGCGTGTGTGCACACTTTCCACTGTTGTATTAAACATCTAGCATATTTATTACTTTGCCTCATTTCAAAAGTAAGCTTTTACTTTGGAAATTTGATCTTCCAAAGGTTTTTAACCTTTCTAAAAAGAACACATTCTTCACTATAAAACCTACTACTTACTACCTACTAATACTATGAGTGATGTGCTTTCGTCAAATATATTTTTAGATTTATATTCCTGTGTGGTTATAATATCCTAGGGTGCAAGTTTATTTTCATATTTTGAAATGACCTTGTCGTTTTTTTCTCTCTCCTTTTTCTTGGCTGATATAAAGAACCCTGCTAGGACCATGTTTGAAGACAGTATGTAGAGGATTCCTCAGAGAGCCAGGGTTAAAGTGCATGAGTTCAGTAGCTCTCTTTTGGAAGCTGAGACTCCCGGGAAGTGAGAGGAGGCACTCCCCCACCGGTGACGAAGGCTTCTAAGAAGTCCCTTCCTGGTGTCTCCCCTGTGTTTCTAAAACAATTTGTTGGGATGGAATAACAACTCAGATATATTTACATTCTTAGGGCAGAAAGATGATACTTGGTCAGGAAATAGCATTGAAAGTCATTCTGATTTGGAAGGATGATGCCAAGGAAGGCGGAAGCTGAGAGCAGGGAAAGGTCAGTGGGGGCAGCCTGAACCTGCTCAGAGCCGACTGCCCTGCACAGCTTCAGACCCACACCCAGAGCCAGGGGTCTCTGACCACCTTGAAAAGAGGGAGCCAGCCACACAAGCCTGGATGCCTGTGCTCCCTGTCCTGCAGGTGGGCTCTCTTGAAAGTTTCTTAACAATGGATGACCTGGCTCCTGTTCACTTAAAGCAGTAAAACCAGAAAGAAAAAGGGGGAAAGACACAAAAGTACTTGCTGGAGACATGTATTTTTGTAGGAAAATCATACTCTTTTTGGAATGAGTCATGGGTATAAATAAACACATTTTTAAACATTTGTTAAATAATTTTACTGAAGAAATAAGTTTGTGAGTTAACTTCCTTTTATTTTCTAGTTAATTTGTGTTTCATACTTTTTTTTTTTAAATTAAAGCTTTAAGAAAGCCAAGAATGAAAATAGCCCTGATATCCAAAGAAGCAAACCTCACGCGCCATGGGAAGAAAATGGCCCCCAGAGGTAAGGAGATCTTTGTTTTCTAAAGGAGAACAGTAGGGAAGGGGTTAGCAGTTGCCTCTATCAAATAATAGAATCCACCTGCTTTGTGGCAGGTCAGGACTAGCTCTGGGCCAGGCAGTCAGATTCCTACATCAGCGTGACCGGGAACTTGTGAAGTGGAGATCAACAGGATGTGTCCCAACATGGAACTCTCTCCTGGAAAGACAGAGAGGAAACTAGTGTATATTAAGAAACTGCCTTGGAAGGTCATCGTGACGGTTTAGAGCAGTGGTTCTCAACCTTCCTAATGCCGAGACCCGTTAATACAGTTCCTCATGTTGTGGTGACCCCCATTTCATTGTTTCATATTGAACATAATTAAAGCATAGTGATTCATCACAAAAACAATTTGTAATTATATATGTGTTTTCCGATGGTCTTAGGCGACCCCTGTGAAAGGGTCGTTCAACCCCCAAAGGGGTCGTGACCCACAGGTTGAGAACCGCTGGTTTAGAGTGAGATGATGTATTTCGGGAAACTCTAAATGAAATGTAGTAATGATACTTCCTCCAGTTTCATAGTTCTTATAAAAACTTGAGTTGAAATCTGTAGCTGATGAATAGTAATTCTAGAAGACATAAAAATATATATTTAGTTTCTTTTGTTCATAACTATCAAAGCAGCGACATACTTGCATTATAACTTCCTGGGCACATCCTTACAATGGTTTCGGGTATGACTACTCAGGGGTTCAAATCCTAGTTCTGTACTTTCTAGCTACTTTACTTGGGATGAATGAAACATTCTGTATTTCTCTTATCTTTTTTGTTAAATGGGTCTAATAATTGTACTTCAGTGCTTAGGGTTAATATGACTATTCGCTAAGATAATGAATACAAAGTTTTGAGCTTGGTCAGCGCCTGGCAGGTGGTAGGCTCATCATAAATGCAATTCATTGTTGTAATTATTCCTGTCCTTTGTGTCTGTTCATTTCTCATTGTTGAAGGCCACCAAGAAAAATCCATTCCTGCAAAATAATGACCTGTATGATGTGTTTTACCAGATTTTACCCCTCTTTTCTTTCAATGTATCTTGTCAACAAAAAGAACCGTTTGCCCACAATTCCCTTGAAAGTACCAATTGTGCAGTCATGACCGCCCCCCTAGGACCACTGGGGTCTGGGGTTAGGGTGTTTGCTCCTCCAGGGCCTCCAGGGATTATCGACCATTCCTCTCTCACTCTAGTGGTCTCTACAGCTCTCCGCATGACCGCACGAAGTCCCCAAAGTTCCCCTGCGCACGCCGCCGAAACCCCTCCTGTGGGAGCGACAACGACTCTGTACAGCCAACAAGGAGAAGGTAGGCTGAGCACAGCCCCTGATTTAATTTTCGGTCCCAGTCACGTTTTTATCACAGGTTATTCTCATAATATCAAGACTGTTTGTCTCCCCAGGAGAGCAGAAAGCCTATATTTTCTGAGATAAATAAAATAGGTTAGGGGTTGCGAAGCATTTCTCTTAAACAGCCAGATTCAGAGCATAATTTCAAAAATATTAACAGGAACTTGCTTTCTGTGTTGTACTGATAAGTTGTTAAGAAATACATATATGATATACTTTAATAATATATATTATATACAGTGGGGCCTTGACTTACGAGTTTAATTCGTTCCATGACGGAGCTCGTAACTCAAATTACTTGTATGTCAAATCAAAAAGGGAATGAGTGAGACACGTGATGCTGGGCTGATGTTGTGGTGTTCACTGTGACGTTCGCTGCGCCAACTAGCGGTGGGGTATCTGAAGCTGGCTCGTAACCCAAATTTTAGCTCGCAACTCAAAGCAAAAAATCGGCCGAGAGACGGCTGTATCTCGAAAAACTCGTTAGTCAGGACACTCGTAAGTCAAGACCCCACTGTGGTTTGTGCAATAAATTATATAACATGTTATGTCAATGACATATATTAGTACATAAAAGACATTACATGTTTCAGCCTGAGAAGACAAAATTATGTTACAGATTAATCGCAACTGAGTCTGTGTTCTCTGCTCTCGCGCAGAGAAAATGCATTGTGTTGCCCAGCAGGTTGGATTGTTTGGGTGGTTATATGTACATGTGTGTACTATTTAATTTTTTTTAATTTATTTTATTGCTTAAAGTATTACAAAGGGTATTACATATGTGTCCTTTTTTTTCCCCCCGCCCTTGACAATCCCCTGTCCTCCCCTACCCCCCAGTGTCTTATGTCCATTGGTTATGCTTATATGCATGCATACAAGTCCTTCAGTTGATCTCTTACCCCCCTCCTTCCTGCCCCCCAACCCTCCCCGGCCTTCCCGCTGCAGTTTGACAATCTGTTATTTAATTTTTTATAAAGGTCCATATCTAGAAGTTTGGGACTCTCTTTGCAAAGCAGGGTGGGCAGTGGGGCAGGTCCAAGAGAGGAAGACCCAAGAAATGACTCACCAGGGTCATTCCTACATGATGGGGCTGGGTACCTACGTAAGTGGTATTTTATGAGTGACTTTTATAATTGCGAGACGTTCAGGTCACGCTCTCAGATACCCATCAACATTCCTTTTATGTCATGGTGGGTCTGGCAAGCAGAGGCCCTTCTGTCTTCTCGGCCCTGTTTATACTTACCTGTTGGTCCATCCCTGTCTCATTCCTTCTACTTCTACCGGTTTTCCAGAACTGTATTCCCCAGCTTTCTCCAACCAGGTCCAACTTCACTGAAATCCTTTGATGGTTAAGCAGAGAAAGGTCCATACCACCCTCACATCATAGGGCTGGAAAGAGGGAGAGAAATCATGACCAACAGTGAATAATGGAATAATAGTTGGCATTCATCATGTTCTAAGTCCTGAGCAGTTTACTTGCTGTATATTAGCTCATTTTATCCTTATAATAACCATACAGAAATGGGCATTTGTATCATTCAGTCACGAGGCATTTTTAGCAGAGAGGGATTAACACAGGGAATTTTGGTGCTCAAATATGAGTAGGATGAAAGGAACGAAAGGCAGAGACATGGTACAGCCCTGAGGTCTGGATGCTGCCCTGCCCCTGGGCTGGAGGAATAAAAGGAGACAAGGGAGTGTTATCCAGAGATGCAGAGCTGCTTCTGCCTTTGAGCTGGCTCCCAGGAGCCTGGGCTGGCTGCTGGCATTGCTGGCTGCCACTGTCGGAGGTGCCACCACTGTAGCTGACGCTGTGGAACCCCACTTCTCAGGAGCGCATGAGTGGGTGCCACAGGTACTGCCAGAAGCACAATTGCCTCCCCTTTTCCCCTGCCTTCAAATCTCACCTGAGTGTCTCTAAGTGGAACCCAGCTGGTAAAGGAGTCCAGGAAAATGCAATTGCCAGCCGTCTAGTGCTGGCATTACAGGGAAGATTACAGATGGGTTGGGATGGGGCTGAGTACCAGTGGACAGAACCTGGCCCAGCATTATCATCTCACTTCTACAGAGAAGAAAACTGGCTCGGGGAGATGGCAGGAACTGTCCATTGTAACACATCTGGGATTTGGATCCAGGGCTGCACATCTGAAAAAGGCCAGGGTAATGGACCATCATTTCAGTAAGGCAGGAGGGAAGATTTTCTGCCCTCCTTCCCTACCAAGGATTGGTTCAATTCAGACAACTAAAAAACGTGGCGACACCCCTGGGAAATACTTTTAAAATGCCTTTATGTATATATGTGTGCTGAGGGATGTGGGTAGTGGGTTTCACTAAATATATTAAGAATTTGGCATCGTCTGATGATTGTTAGATAAGTTTTTACAGTTTTTCATTCTTAATTATTAGTGTACTTTGTCATTTCCAACATAAAAGAATTGCACATATTGAGCAAATGGCCATTTTGATTTTAATATATTCAAAAATGAACTTATCAGGGTTTGTTAAAATGCACCAAACTTTACATTTCTTTTCAAATTAAATGCTTGAAATAGTTTGGAGCATATACATTCTCAAATCCAGACTAATGACTCTGCACTGAAATCCATTTTCTGTTGGCTTCCTGTGAAACACAGAGAAGCAATTGTGGTGCGTGGTTACAGGACGCTTTCATAGGCACCATTTGAGGAAAAGACCACTGGGATTTGGTCTGAGCACCGTAAAGCCTTCTGTCTGGTTCTGTGTCACCTAAAAGCTCTCTTATTCAGCATGTGTGTTTGGAGGAGACCAGCCATTGCTTCGTGTCGGCATGACTGAGACAAAGCTCATTCTTGGTTGTTTTTTTCGCTATAAATACCCTTTAAATGTCCCTGTCCTTGTTAGTCTTGTTTTATCTTCACATATGTTTACCTTGCCCCTGGGCACAAATCCCTACAGACATGGATTAACTCTGACATTTAAAACCGAGATTTGTCATCAGCATGGAAGAATCTCAAGGACTTAAATTTAATAATAGGAAATTCTCTTTTGTAATGGATACCAGGATAACATGTTTTGCAGAAGATATCACAATTTCTATTTTGCCAGTCATCTGTCATTAGATGAGTACAGCTGCCAAATTCTGGCAGAGTCTAGAACATGGGTCTCAATCTTTTTCAGTGATAAAACTCTGAGAATCTGATGAAATGTTGCATTCATTCCCTAGGCAGTGGTCGGCAAACTCATTAGTCAACAGAGCCAAATATCAACAGTACAACAATTGAAATTTCTTTTGAGAGCCAAATTTTTTAAACTTAAACTATATAGGTAGGTACATTGTTATTAACTTAATTAGGGTACTCCTAAGGCTTAGGAAGAGCCACACTCAAGGGGCCAAAGAGCTGCATGTGGCTCGTGAGCCGCAGTTTGCCGACCACAGCCCTAGGAGGAAAGACTGTATTATTGAATACACATACAAACTTCTTTATAATTGTCAAGGTTCATGGAGACCCTGATGCCTGCGTGTTTAAACATTCCTATTTTATTTACTTATTTTTTTAAAATATATTTTATTGATTTTTTACAGAGAGGAAAGGAGAGGGATAGTAAGAAACATCAATGAGAGAGAAACATTGATCAGCTGCCTCCTGCACGCCCCCTACTGGGGATGTGCCCCCAACCATGGTACATGCCCTTGACCAGAATCGAACCTGGGACCCTTGAGTCTGCAGGCCGACGCTCTATCCACTGAGCCAAACCGGTTAGGGCTAAACATTCCTATTTTAAAAAAGAAACCCAGCATGCTTTCTGACAGAACAATTTATTTTTACCCCCATTCATCTTTATATTCAAAAATGTTTAGAGTACCCACTGTATGCCAGGCACTGTATTAAACAGCATCAGAGAAAGTCTCTGACCTTTGGGAGTTTATCGTTTGTTAGGGAAGAAACATACAAATTACAAATACATGTGCAGTTATGACTGTTATATGTTCTTCAGGGGGCAGTTATGCTTAGGGAAATTTAAAAACTTTTTAATTGAAAAATGCGTATAGAAAAGTACACCTGTTCTAAGAATAACTGCTTGATAAACATTTGCCATTCAAACACATGTGTAACCAGCACTATTAGGAGCGGTTTTGCTGCGTTGTTGAGTGAAGGAGGTTGGAAGGGTTCCTGAGGCCGGATGCTGGAGCTGGGATCAGACAAAAGCAAGCACAGAGAGGAAGCGGGACTGGTATGTGCTGAGGCCTTGGGATAGAAGGGAGAGGGTAGCATTCATGAACAGGATAAAGCCCAGTGTTGCTCAAGCATTGAGGGTGAGCAGAAAAGTGCTAGTAATGAGCCTGGAGAGAAAGGTGGGACCAGACCTCATCAGACACCTGAGCTTTGTTGAGGATTTTGGTCATTAGATCAGTAGTTTTCAGAAAGGATGATAACAAGATCGTGTTTGTATTGTGTAAAGGTGGCCCTTGCTGTTCTGTGGAAAAGAGATGGGAGGGAATAGTTGTGGAAACAGAGAGGCCAGGCAGCAGGCTATCATATGAGTCCTGGACAAAGAGAATGGGAGCATGAGCCAACCTGGTGATGTGGAGACAAGAAACGTGGTTTCAAAACCCGTCCAGAGGTAGAATCAATAGTGCTGGCAGGATCAGCATGAGGGTGAAGGAGCGAAAGATGTCAAGAATGAAGACCAGGCTTGTGCAGTTTCATGGATTGAAGTGTGATGCACTGAAATAAGAACAGGCAGGACATTGCATGCTGAAAGGGACAACTTTTGGGGTTTGGAATTGTGGAATTTGCGATTTCTTTGAGAAGTCCAAGTGCAGGATTCACATGGATTGTTGGATATAAGTGAGGAGTTGGGTTAGTTGTCTTGACTAAAATATAAATTTCTTAAAAATGTTAATTGAGCCGAAACTGGTTTGGCTCAGTGGATAGAGCGTCGGCCTGTGGACTGAAAGGTCCCAGGTTCGATTCCGGTCAAGGGCATGTACCTTGGTTGCGGGCACATCCCCAGTAGGAGATGTGCAAGAGGCAGCTGATCGATGTTTCTAACTCTCTATCTCTCTCCCTTCCTCTCTGTAAAAAATCAATAAAATATAATTTAAAAAAATGTTAATTGAAATATGAAATACAGAGGAGGCTGTCTAGATAGATAGTATAGATAGAATGCAAAGACCAAGCCTATGACAGACCTAGGATTATTAACTTGGTAAAAGAGACATAGAATTTGTGGCCACAGAAAAAATCAAGAGAATGAAAATCTGCTTACGAAATGGCTCCCTTCTCTCTTCATTCCCAGAATGCTAGAAGCCAGGCTTGTATCTTCCAGACATGAGATTACAGAATCTCACTGTAAGAAAGGACAGATACAAGAGAAAAGATCTGCAGATAGAAACTTTCCAAGGATTTTCCAAGGAAATGGTTGAGACTACCCACATTACTTTGTTCCACATGACAGTGAAGCCATCGGTCAGCATGCTCTCCACCCAGAGGTTCAGTGCACAATGCTTGAGAGAGTCATTATCGCCAGCATTTGAGGATAATTTCTGTTAGGAAAGACAGAGACTGAAACAACTAGGAGTGTGTGTGTGTGTGTGTGTGTGTGTTGGGGCAGCTGTGTGTGTGGGGGGGCGGGGGGGTGCAGGGGCACTCAGGAAATAGAGTCAATATAAGAAACAGAAAGCTTTTTATGACAGTGTAAGTATTATCTTTGGAAAATGAAAACTTTGATATCAAAAGGAAAGAGTGAATAAAAGTTCTTAGACTTTAATGTGACAGAATTTTTAAAATAATCAATAGAAGGTTTAGAAGATAAAGTTAAGGAAATCCTCCCCAGAGTAGAGCAAAAACAAAGCATAGATATGTAAATAAAGATTTTAAAAAAACTATCCAACCTGGATATGAAATATTCGACTAATGAAATTTCTAGGGAAAAACCTCAAGAAAATGCAGAAAAGGAAAGTATTAAAGAAGTTGTACAAGAAAGTATTTCAGAACTGAATTATCGTACTTTATGGAGAACCTGCTGAGCATTTGATATAATAGATTGAAAAATTAGATCCATACCAAGATTCATTATCATAAAATTTTAAAACATTATAGATTTAGAGAGAATTTTTAACACTTGGAGTAGGGGAGGAATATGGAAGAGAAAAGAAAAGTCCATGCATAAATGGTGACAAATAAGAATTCTGGTCTTGGGCTGCTTAACAGCAATATCAGAAAAAAGATAAGCATCACCTTCAAAATGCTGAAGGAAGATTATTTTCAATTTAGGGTTTTTTGCACTGTGATCAGGGCATATATAGCTCTTGCATGCTTTGCAGAAACAGAGAGCACTTAGGTCAGAGAATGGTGGTACCATTGTTGGGCCTTGTTGTGGATCCACTTGAGGATCCACTAGTATGAACATGGATTTGTAGTGTAACTAATATGCTCTTTTGTGTAACTCCATCCAGCACTGTTCAGCCAGCTGTTGAGGTGTAGCCCAGAGAACCTGGATAGTTGGTTGAGGTCTTGCCAGAAAGACTGAACAGAAAACAAAAAGTTGGAGGAAGTTTTGAGTATTGGCATGCATGTTATTGAGATGATAGAAATCTAAGCTGAGTCAGAGAGGGAATGAAGGAGGGAAAGAGCTGATGGATAATCACACAGTCAATAGGCACATGATCCTATTGAGGTCAAAGAAAGGTAGAATGGAAGTAGTTGAATGAGCAGTAATAACAGTTAATATTCATTGAGTGCACACAATGGGCTAGATCCTACTCTATACACTTTAAATGTATTAATTCATTTTGTCCTAATAACAACCTTTTGTGGGAGGTTCTGTTAAAATGGAGGCACTGAGTAGAGAAATAATTTAAATCACAACTCATCAATGAAGGAGATTGGATTCATATTCAGGTTGTCTGGCTCCAGAATCCTCACATTTTAACCAGGATACCCCATCAAAGCTGTTTGAAAGTAAATAGAAGTGGTAAAGGGGGGTGTGGGGGTGAAGGGGATTGTGGTCTGAGAGCAGTGATTAGAGGTGCTTACAGAGGATAAATTCCAAGTGTGACCAGGATGTGGGTGCTGCGTTATTGTGAAGAGATTATTAGAGAAAAGGTCAAGGGGACTTGGAAGCCAGGGTTCTGGGAAGGGCATCCAGGAGAGAGCTGATGTCAGATGATGGCAGAATTTGGCTTGGTGGATTGCAGACCTTGAAACCAGACTAACTGCATCACTGGATGAATGGAATTTAACAGACATGTTGTGCATTTTTATTTGTAGACTATTTACAGCCCCCACTAGGTTTCTTGAAGCCAATTGGTAGTCTATTTCTGGGACCTATTGTAGGGATGGACATATGTGCGCGATTCCAATGTTTGATAATGAATGACTATGTAGCATATACATGAAGCGAAACTCATTTTGGTGTGCTTTCCTTAGCCAATTGATAACTTTCTATTTTCTTTAATGTCTTCATTTATTTGTTTTCCATAGGAAAGCCCATAACAGTGGTGAAGACTCAGATCTAAAGCAAAGGAGAAGGTAAACAAAACAAACCAACAAACAAAAAAACGAAATGGGAAGGAGGGCCTGGGAGAGGGAGGCAGGATCAGCAAATTAGCAGAGCTCAGAACTGGGGCCAGAGGAGGGATTTTCTTGTTTGTTTCATTAGTGACTGCTTTAAGAGTACTGTAAATGTGTTCTTTAACCTGAAATGGGTGTCAGCTGGTTCTCAGTCTTCCATTCTGTAGCACCCTTAGCAATTTCTCTTGTTTCTGCTCCCAGAGGAGCTGTCTCAGTTATCTGCTGCTACATTAAAACCATTCCAAAACTTGGTGTATTTAAAGCAACAATAATCACCTATACCTCTTTTATAATTCTGTTGATTGAACAGGAAGTTTTTCTAGTTAGCTTTGCTAGTTTCAGACGAAGCGTCAGTTGGATGGTGGCTGAGGTTGGGTTATTTCTGTCTGGTGCCTGGCAGAATGGCTGGAGGCCTGGGGCCCCTCTCCAGGGTCTCTGGTGGCTGGGAGGAATCGGGAACTATCAGCCCTGTTAAGGGCTAGTCCTGGAACTGTGAGAGTATCCCTTCCACCTCACTCTGTTGGTAAAATCAGCCCCAAGACGAGCACTAATTCAAGGGGAGAGGAAATAAACTCTGCCTCTCTCAGTGAAGGGTGGAGGTTTGGTTTAGCACAGGGGCTTATAAGCTTTACGTCAGATTTCTGTTGGAAGTGCTTGTTTGTTTGGTCCTTCTGGGAGCATAGTGACATTCGCCTTAATCTAATCACACTTCTTTAGACTCATTCAGATGTCTGACTGGATTGAGAAACACTGACGGGGGGAGGGATGCTACTTACGTTTGGGTTAGTAATCTTACTACGGAATTAATTCCAAAGAACCAACATGAACTTTTCTAAAATTTTCCATTTGACTTAAATGGGCATTTTTCATTTGCTCTTATTTTGTCTTCAGGTCCCGCTCACGCTGTAACACAAGCAGTGGTAGTGAATCAGAAAATTCCAATCGAGAACACCGGAAAAAGAGAAACAGGTAATACTGGAATATTACAGCTAGCTGGACCTGCAAAAGCAGAGGCTGCTGTCAGTAGTGAAAGCTGGGCGTCCTGTGTATTTTTAAGCCGGATTGTCTCACCTGTGTTTAAGAAGCAATCTGGCACTATTTTGAAGCCGTCTTTTAGGAAACCTCAGCTCTTTGAACTGAGTTTCTTATCTTTATAATAAGATAATTAAACGGTTTGACAATGAGGTTCCATCTTGTTAATTAAAAACAAAGTTGATCTGATATTTAGGTACAACATGTAGTGAATTTGTCTAAGGGTAGTAAGAAATTTTACTGTGAGTAGAGGGGTTTCTCCCTGAAGTATTTTTTAATATATTTTTTAAAAATTGATTTTAGAGAGGAAGGGAGAGGGAGAGAGAGATGGAAACATCAATGAGACAGAATAATTGATCGCCCCACACTGGGAATTGAGCCTGCAACCCGGGCATATGACCTGATCTGGAATTGAGGCGGTAACCTTTTGGTTCATGAGTCTATGCTCAACCACTGAGCCATATCGGCTGGTGTCCCTGAAGTATCTTTTAACATGATGTTACTATATTTTGCCCAACCAAAAATGAGGGACTCATTGTATGGATTCTATAGTTTCAGCCTCATGTAGATGTATATGCAAATATGTGTTTATATTTATGTCAGGCACATACAATTAGATGGGGAAATGCAGTTTATTCATATCTTTAGGACTCATTTTTTAAGAGCTTTTTAATAACATCATTTGACATGTAATCAGCATTAGTGATGGCTTAATGCATTAATCAGTTCTCACTTGTAGCAAAATAATTATTTGAAAAGTGTTCTCATAGTGCTAGATTGGGAGTGAGAAGGATTCGGTTGCTCCTGTGCCAGTTGCTAACCCAGTGGTTCTCAACTGGGGACAATTTTGCCCTCCCCTCCACTCCCAGAGGATATTTGGCCATGTTTTGAGACACTTTTGAATGTCATAATTGGGCGAGGGGATTGCTGTAGACCAGGATACTGCTAAATATCCTACAGTGTACAGACTGCCCCCCACAACAAAGAAATATCTGGCCCCAAAAACATGTCAGTAGTGCTACTGTTAGAAACCCATTCTCACCTGAGGTAGAACTCTGGCCTGGTTGTTTTTGCTTTTCTGGGTCGTTTTTTTATCTTCTGTAAAATGAGGAAGTTGGAAGAGATAATCTCCAAGGTCCTTCTTTAGTACTCAGAGCCCTCGTGCTTGGCACACACTGAATCAGCCTCCCTCTCTGACTACAAAGCCTGTGCAATAATAGCCCAGACAGCATTGTGAGCGCAGACCATTTTCTTCGGGGAGCTTTCTCTGTGGAGCCTTCTTGGGGCTGGAATCACACTGCACAGAGGTGAGATCTCAGTGTGTTATAACACTCTTCTCAAGGAAGTGATCCCCTTTCTTCTGTAAAAGCCCAAGTGTGGAGGGCCGCTCTCCCTGAGGTCCCCTCTTCCTGCTCTAAAATTCACAGTCTTCACAGACAACACAAAACAAGGCAAACTATCCCACCTTCTCCCTCACCACACACACGGCTGTACTTACTGATCGAGCCAGTATCTTAACAAATTTGTTCCTCTTTTGCTTGGTATATTTTAAATTGTGCTCGTAGACGCTATCGTCTCAACTTCTCAGAAGGTGGCCTGTTTAAAAACAGTCTTTTGGGGCCAAAAGCACTCATGGTGACATTTGCTGTTAAAATGAAACACTATTAAAGGGTTGCCAGCAAGTCCTTAAATAGCTCATTACTGTTCTACTTGCGCACCGGCTCCAGTATTCCTTGTAGGTGTTTTCTCCCTCAAGACTTTCTCTCCCCCCCCTCCCCTCACCCCCACCCCGGCACAGCTTTTTAGGTTGGGGTTCTTTGTATTGTGTCAGTAGTGTATTTTAGAATGGCGGTGGTTCTGAGCGTGTAAGTGCTAATGTGCTTTGGAAGGCTGTTAATGAGAAATCACTTTCAAAACACACGGACACAGGGGCTTTCAGACTCATTTTACCTGTAGAAATATTGCCCTGGGGTTTCATAAGTTGCCTGTGTCTGTCAAAGATGAGGTCTAGTCTAGATCTCAGGGGCACAGCAAAAGAGTGGGCAGAGGAAGAAATACGTCCTTCAGTTACAGTCCCCACTCCTGCAGATTCTCGTGCAGCAGGTGACGGCGGGTGTGCAGGAGAAGCTGCAAGCACGGCTGCCTCCGGGGGCCACTTACACGTTATGCTGTGCTTCCACTAACCCTCGATCCCATTATTTGCCTTTTACATTTTGCCAGAACCCACTCCTTCCACATCAGGATGCGTAGGTCTGAATATTTAAACGGCAGCCCTGCTGACGGTCCTAATGGGTCTTCTGTCTATGATGGAGGGTCCTCTCCTGACTTCCTCTTTGTGCAGAAGACTCTGTTTTGGGGGAGAGGATATATCTCTTTTACCTCGTCTGCCCTTCCTTATCCCAGAAGCAGTGTGACCCAGCCAGCCTCTCCACAGTCCTCTGTGCTTTTATCAAAGGACTCTGGTGACCCTAGAATGGGGCAAACTGCCTCGAACCTGATGATGCTCTGCTTCCTGCAGCAAGGTCTCAAAATTCAGCCCAGTTGTATTCACGTGCACTCGTTAGAACTTTGAATCTTACCCCTGAGATCCGAAGGGTCAGCCATCTGGTCGCTAGAGGTTGGAGTGCATGGGCTGTGCTCTGGACTTGCCCAGGGTGTATATTGAAGGAGAACCCAGGAAGTAGATTTACCAGAGGGAAACCTTTCACAAACCAGCTTTCCCTGAAAACACCTTGAGTTTAGTAAAATATCCTGCACATTCAAAGAAACCTGTCTGCAAAACACGCTCTGTGCTATTGATGAGAATCAGCATCCTTTGAGCGTTCACCAGGGAGAATGTGGATTACCCAGTCATTAGCTTTGATGTGTGGCTAGGCTTTTAGGATTTTGAAGTGGGGGATTTGGAGCGGGTGGAGGGGCAGCGACTTGAGAAGCAGTCTGGTGTTTTTTGCATAAGCATACGAGTGGAAGTAACTCTGGAGCTTGGCAAAGATTACAAGAGTAAAAGATGCCCTGGCTGGGTGGTTCAGTTGGTTGGAGCATCATCCATACACCAAAAATTGTGGCGGGTTCCATTCCCAGTCAGGGCACATACCTAGGTTATGGGTTCAATCCCTGGTTAGGGTGCATACAGGAGGCAACCCATTGATGTTCCTCTCTCACATCAATGTTTCTCTCTAAAAAAAAAAAATAATAAAATCAAAAACATATTCTCGTGTGAGGATTTTAAAATAGAAGAATAAAAGAAATGAGAAGCCTGAAGTAAGAGCAGGACTAGAGTAAATTGGCAACAGGAGACCATTTGGACCTTTCCCTGATTTTATCCTGAGTGTTTGCATCACAAACTCGTTAGCTATGCACGTGAGGCTATGTGTGGGTGCATGTGTGTACACACGGGTGCAGTAGGGCACAGAACAAAGAATCAGGGAGCCTGCTCTATAAATTTGACCCAGCTTTGGAGAACTCTGTGGCTAGGAGCTGGTTACCTTACCCTCTGAATCTCAGTTTTCCCATATGCAAAGTGGAATGATACCTGTCCTGTCTACCTCACAAGAGCTTTGTAAACATCCAGGAGATAATAGATGTGCTTTGAGAAGTAGAAAGTGCCCTGCACAGGCAGGTACCATAGGTGAGTGAGAGCAGTCAGCACTGCTCCCTGCTATCTGAAGTCCCTGTTGTATCTGTAAGCCAGGGCCCAGCTCCCTTTAACAAAAAGGATGTCCGTGTTTCTAACATGAAATTTTCCTGCCATAAATATTGTTAGTTTCTTCCTGCCCTTTAGATCTCTTTTAGAATCTGTATCTGAATAATGGATTAAGATGGTTTTAAATATTTTAAATATGTTCCACAAGGTCTTTTGTATTATTTTCCTAAAAAGAAAAAAAAGAAGAAGAAACTGTCTTCTGTGGCACTGCAACTGACAGGGACGATGCATCTGAGTAGGGCCTGATGTTGGCAGGATTTTGCAGGGGGGTTAAAAAAAGAACTTTATTGTCCCTGTGCCCGAAGGGAAAACGCAAACCAAAACAAAAATGTGTTTTGGATGATAGCAAGCTTAAACCAGTGGGGCATTTCTTTCAGATAGCCTGAAAGGAGGCAACTGTTTCCTTGCTTGCCTTCCCTCCTGCCCTGTTCCTGATTTAGGTAGAGGCTGCAGACCAGGTAGAAATTATGGGCCCGGAGAGAACCGATCATACGAAGCCAGTGGAAGCAGTGTTCGCCATGCTACAGATTGCAAGGGTTTCTGATTTCCACTCTAATAAGTCATTTCAAAATGTAGACATTTGATATGGATGAATTAGGGCTTCCAGAGCATAATCAAAGTTGACAGAGATGACTGTGGAGGTGCAAAGCTGCAGCTGCTGAAGGATGATGTCTGATTACTGAGTGAGGGCAAAGCAGGTTGAAAAATTAGGAAAACAGAAGGAGAGCTTGAAAGAGAAATTGCACCAAAAGGTAGCCTATTTTGCAGGGAGAGCATAAGGAATAAGTGGAAGAGACAGAAGCATCTTTAAGAGCAAATAAGAATAATTTATTGATGATGGGGGAAAGTTGGGAAAAGCAAATGAATTTTTTGCTTGGTAGTCTTAAGGGAGTAGGTCGACAGATGCCTGGAACCAACATAAATTTCCCTAGGGAAGAAAAACTGAAAATAAAAGAAAAAGAAGGTTGGTTTATAGCAGGTGATCCGAAAATGAGTGCAGTTGATGAGAAACACAAGGCTACAGTCAGTTGGGACCCGCAGACTTAATATCAGCGATGGAGTGGTCATATGAAGCAATTGTCTGGAAAGCTGTGCCATAGATGAAGAGTAGAGGTTTGTCTCAATGTGTCTGACTGGTTTGAAATAAAACACAAATAGAGAAAAATAGAGTTTAAAGTTAGACAGGATCTTCGCAATAATTAGGTAGATGAAAAACTGACACCTGACCAAAGAA